TTCCAGGAGGAGGGGAACGGCTTAGCCCCCTCCCTGCCGGAAGCTGCAATGTGACGCCATCTCCTCTAACATCGCGGAAGGAAAAAGTTGGGCTGGTTTCCACCGAGGATTGGCTAAAAACGTAGCCAATCACAGGGAGGGCTTTTTTTTTTATCTCGTTAGTCCAATCCGATGGACCTGTGTAACCAATACCAAACTGCAGAGTTTAGGTTCGTGCTTCGGAAGGAACTGGGAGGACCGTAGTTAGACCATCACGCAGCTGCCGTTGCCAGAAGCTTTCCTATTGGCTTAGGACGGTGCATCCTGTCTTCTTCTCCAGCCCATCTTCCACACAACTGCCCAACTGATTTTTCTTAAAGTCTGACCATAGCACTCCTTTACTCGGGAGTTGTGGTTCCCTACTGCTTCTAACAATGAAATATTAACCTCTTCTGTTGGACATTTAAAACCGGTCACGAATTGGTTCCAATCTACCTTTTTAGACTGTTGTCACATTACATACACCCATACACATTGCTGTTCCCGGCACAGAATTGTACTTGTCTAGTCTCCAGGAATTTTGTTGTCCTCCCGCCCCCATTAGAATAGAAGCCCTTTGAGGGTAGCCTCTTTTTGTATTCCCAGCGCTTAGCACAATGCCTGCCACAAACAAAATGTTTATTGATAAATCCCTCATGTTTGGAATGCTATTGCCTCTCACCTGAAACCCTTGCAAGCCGTATTTCTCAAGGCTAGGTGCACCTTCATCTCCATCATGAAGTTCACCAGATTCCAGATGTCCCACCCCCAAATTACTTTCACATGTTCTGTATTTATATGTGTACAAATGATTTCTCCCAAGTAGAATATAAATTAAGGGTAGGGACCATTTAAAAAAATTCATATCCCAAGCACCTGGAGAGCAGGTGGCACACAGTAGGCACTTATAGCAAATACTTGTTGAATTGAACTGAACCAGAAAGCTGTGGTGAGAGAACAAGAGGTTCAAAGAAGTCCACGGAGGAACCATTGAAGCCTGCCTTCCCTTACCCAGGAGCAAGTGGTGGTGATCCTATGATCCTACCTGCCCAGGACTGTAGGGGAAAAAGGAAGGAAGGAAGGAAGAAAAAAAGGAAAGAAAAGGGAAACAGGAGAGAAGGAAACAAGCATTTATTAAGTGCCTACTATTGTGCCAGGCACTGTGCTAAGCACTTTACAAATATTTTGTCATTTAATCCTCACAATGACCTTGGGAGGTAGGTGCTATTATTTATCCATATTTTACAGTTGAGAAAACTGAATAATGGCAATTGTAGACTATTAAAAGCTTGAAGACACTTTAGAAACAATTTTAAAGATGAAAAAAGTGGATTCAGAAAGATTAAATAACTTGTCCAGGGTCACAGTTTTTGTGAAGCAAAGTTTGAACTGGAACCATGTCCTTCGACTCAAAATTCATTCCTGTATTATGTCACAATTATTTCTCCATTTCTTCACAATGAGGAGGTACCTTTCCACTTCTAACATGCTGTGATTTTAAGTCCAAATGTGTTACTCTGATATTGGAGGTCTTAGATCATCTGGATACAATTGAATTTTCCAGCCGTATTTCCCACTAGTTCCTTAAAGGTGCTCTGTACTCCAGCCAAACTGTTCCATTAAATATGCCTTGCTCACCCCCACTTAAAGATTTGCTTGTTGTCTTTCCTATACAGATAGCACTCAGCGCAATTTCAAACTCTCCTAAGCTTTTCTTGGCCACAGTAACTCCGTTTTCTAAATTTTTATATATCACTTGTCTACATACCATTAATCTGGTACTAGATGTTACAATCTATCCTTTAATGTTTTCACTCCCTAGATGGTCTGTTAATTTCTCAGGCATAAAACTATCTTACACTTAGGATACATTCCCTAACGCCTAGTATTGTAACTTGCACTTTGAGCATTTACATTGTGTACCCAATCAAAAAATAATTTGCTTATTGATTGGTGCTTCTAGGACTTGTACAATTATGATGCTGTTCATAAAGTTGGGAAAGGGAGCTGCTTTGAGTAAAATGATTTTTTTTGGGGGGGGGGGGAGACTGGGTTTTTTCACCCAGGATAGAAGAGCAGCAGTTACTCAGGTATGATCCCGTTGTAACTCAGCGGCTCTATTTCCATCCTGGGTTGGTTTTGCCCCTAGTTAGGCAGCCTGGTGACCCGTTGTACTCCATCTTAATGTGGACACCCAAGCCCTACCAAAACCCAGAACTCCAGAGTGGAAGAACTGGGACTCCTACTCAGGTATTATGACACGAAGGCTTAAATTGGATTTATGAGCCAATTATGGAAACCTATTATGTTGGCACTGACTCTAGGAAGACTTTTCTATTATTCCAGCACTGGGGCAGGTGGAATTCCCTGGTTCCTACAGCTATGAGACTGTGCTAGGGTTAGGGGACAGTAGGGGTTGAAACTGTGATAATAAAACTGAATTATCTGAGGGGGAAATCTTGGGAAGACTCGGCAGCAGAGAAAGCTGTGGTATTCACAGTCTGGCAGCTGCTTAGGAAGAAACTTCTGTCAATGACTCTGGTTACAGAAAAGCATGTACTCCATCCAAAACTGGAACTCTAGCTTGGGGCAGGGTGGTAGCAATGCTTGATTTTTTTTTTTTGAGCAATTTTCTGGCAGAAATGACTCATTATGTGTACAGGTAACTTGGCTCTTCTGTTGTACATTTGCATTGGAGTACACTTTCATTGGATAAGACACCTAGCTGTGAAGTGACAATATCTATTTTCATAGAAACTATAAACTAAAAATCCATGTGAGGCTAAAATTAGCATGCATGTGGGACAGAGAACTTCTTCCGTTTTATACATTCTTCCCTTTGTCTTAGAATAAACCAATTTAATCTATATCCCATTTATAGTATGAAAATTTAAAACATTACCAGCAGTTAGGGAACCAAATGGGTACCTATCAAATGAGGAATGATTGAGCAAATTATGTCATATGAATGTAACGAAATATTGTAGCATTGTAAGAAATGAATATGGAACTTAAGAGAAACATGGGAAGACTAATTTGTACTTAAGTAGAATACAGCAAGCAGAAAAAAGAAAACTACACATAACTACAATAATATAAAACAAGAACACTAAAAGAAAGCCAAATGCTGTGTAATTGCAATGGCTGGTCTTGGCCCCAGAGATAAAGAAATGCACCTTCCTCCTTTCCTTGGAAAAGTGGGATACTCTGGATGCAGACTGTTTTATTACATTGTCAGTTTTCCTGTCAAGTGTTAGATGGTTTAACTGGTTTTCTTCATAACAAGGAAAGGCTCCTTGGGTATATTTGTGGGTGTGGTGGTATATCTAGAAATAACTGATGTAAATATAAAAGGAAGCTATCAGAATTTTAATTTAAAATGAAAAAAAAAATAAACTAGTTAATTTTCCCCAAATGAATTTAAGATATGTTAGCTGGAATTTTTCAAAGCTGGAAAAATACTGATTTAAAACCACGGGCAGCATTTTAGGATATTATACTTTCCTTAATTTACTAGATAATTGATTTCTATGAAAGAAAATCAATACAAATAGCATCCCATTATACTGCACTACAAATATCTATCCAACTTTTTTGTTGTACTCAAAAACTTTTCTCTATTCATCATTCAAAAAACAAAACAAAAAAACTATTGAGTAAGTGTACCGGCCGCGCTGACCTATGCCAGCCGCGCCGTACCCTCTCCTCCTATAAGGAGCAGGCTGCCAGAGTCATACTCACTCTCGAGTCTTCGGTCCTCAGCCGGATAAACACACAGAGACGAGCCATCAGGAGGTGCCAACACCAGAGCTTTATTCAGAGGCCATCACAGCAAGCCCAAGCAGCAAGGCCAGAGCAACAGAGCAGGAGCCAAGAGAGAGCGTGTGATCTGACCACGCTCGTTCCTAAATACCTACTAGCCCCTCCTCCCCAGCCCACTTACTAGCCAATGATTGTAGGGTCAGATACTGGAAGGGGCTGTCTGAGTTAGCACACCAAGGGAGAGGGAGTGACATAGGAGGCTAGGACCGGATACAGGAAGGAGGCGTCTGGGATTAGTGCATAGACAGAGTACATGACCTAGGAAGTCAGGAAGGAGGTATCTGGGGTCAGTGCTACACAAAGGGACCCAGGAAGTCAGGAAGGTCACAAGATGGAGGCGTCTGGGGTTGACATTGCATATAGGGAGGGGACTAAGAAAAGGGAACTCAGTCCTCTGCCGTCCCACTCCCACGTGGCACTGCCCCTTGCCTGGGAGCACAAGCTCCGGCTACTTCCTTGCACCCAGCTTATCTCACATAGCACTGCCCACTGCCTCAGGGCTTCTCCGTACCCAGCCCATCCCAGTTCACCACGACTCTGCCTACCACAGCCCCTGCCTCGACTTCCAAAAATACCCAGATCTTACCCTAATCTTGCCACAGCGCCCACCTGGTAGTTGCCAACATAGACAGTCCCTCACAAGTAAGTACTACTTATCCAGCACTTAATCAATTTTTGCTTTAACATATGAAAACAAAACAAAATAAAAACCACCAACAACAACCCTGAGCTTGGAAATCAATTACAAAGTAATATTTGTTGAAATGACATTTGCTGATTGAATCTACAAAATAAGTGTTAAAAAATCTAACGAGTCTTTCACAACATGACTATTATGGAAGTGTTTTGCATCACTATACATGTTTAACCTATATCGAATTGCTTGCCTTCTCAATGAGGGTGGGTAGGGAGGAAGGGAGAGAATTTGGAACTCAGTTTTAAAACAAATGTTAAAAATAGTTTTTACATGTAACTGGGAAATAAGATATACAGGAAAAGGGGTATAGAAATCTATCCTGCCCTACAGGAAAACTGAAGGGGATAAGAGAAGGGGGTGTGTGTGTGTGTGTGTGTGTAAGTGAATGTTGAAAACTAAAATGAATACATTTTAAAAAATCTAATGAGTGTGGGAATCAAATCATCTGAGAGAAAGACCACAGTTAAAAATGAAATGTCACAATTTATTGTTCTGCACAATTGATAATAATTCAGTTTTCCTTGGGCTCACTAAAGCACTATTCCAAGAGACTGGAGCACTATATAGTGAATTATCAGAATAACTAACATGCCTATAATAAGGAAGCAATAACTTAAAGAGATGAACACAAGTCCCATCAGAAATCTAATGAAAAATACAACAGTTCAAGTTAATGATAATCATTTAAACACTCCACTACTGATTGTAAGATTGTATTACTCATCCTTCCACCATGTTCCCCAGCCCTTTGCATTTGAAGACAATTTTCGAAAGGATTTCTTAATCCCCAACCTATTTTTCTGTAAATCCTTGACAAAATTCTTGGAATTAATGGAAATATTATGAAAACCACTATGCTTTCTCTTTGGAACAAACTTCAGTGCTTTTTCCCAATCACCAGTATTCTTAAGAGTTAATAATATCCACATCATTTGATCTAAGGTGAGATTTTTATTTCCAATCTCCCATTGAAGATATTGGTCCAATGGAAGGCGTTCACTTGCTATGTTCAGTCGTTTTGCATTTGCATAGGATATTCGGGGTTGCGAACACTTATCCACAAAAGATCCGATTATATAAATTTTATCATGTCTAAAAGTAGTCATAACATTGGGAGAATCAGCAGTCAGATAGATAAGCCTTTCTCTTGGGAATATATCTACATGTGACTTTTCTGTTGTTGTCAAAAGCAATTGGTCCCATTTCTCTTTATAACGATAAATCAGTTCTTTGTGATAAACACCATCGACTTTGAGATTGCAAAAATATATATGGAATGGGTCTATATTTTTTCGATTGGCTCCTTCACTTTCTAAGAGTTGGCACACAGTGTTCTTCAAATCTCTTTCAGGCATGAAATTTTCATAAGCCATGTCAAAAACTAAAGGCTGGCCAAATATCATTGCCTGGGCGTTTCTCCAATCCCATTCAGTTTTCCAAGCTCTATTCTTAAGTGGCAACAGAAAAGTGTTCGTTAGCTCTGTATTCTTGGATTCTTCAGCATTTCCAAGTTGTTTTTGCTTTTCAATTTCATCCATTTCTGCTCTTTTCTTTTCCTGTTTTTCTTTCTTAGCTTTTTTATGCATTTCCTTGATATATAAATATTTGAGCTTTTTCTTTTTGGACTTTTTGCTGGGACATTCTGCAATCATTTTGAGATCCTGATCACTAATATGTTCTGGCACTTCTCTGTTAAGTAGTCTACACATCTCAATCCATTCTCTAGTGGCTGTTAAAATATCATCTGAGGTTGTAAAACTACTTCTTTCCTCTTGTAAACTAGATTTCATTGTATTTTTCCACTCATCCAAATCTATCTTCTCAATAGGTGGGACATTCTCCTTATTAGGATAAAACAAAATAGGTGTTCTAGAAGAAAAGTGTTTGTGTAGAATGGTAAAATATAAACCTGTACCTTTCTTACGAAGGACAAATGGCACAACAGATCGCTTGACAAAGTGTCTTAAAAATGTGAAACAGGTACTCATTTTGTAGGAGAGACCTGGAAAACAAATAAATATATAATGAAAATTTACTTAAATTTTATTTTATTTGCTTAAGTAAATATATTTTAAATAAAATTTACTTTATATTTAGAAAATTAAGAAATTATATGAATAATGCTGTCTCAATCTCCTAACTAGCTGCTAATGAGACTGGTCTAAATTATGCAGGTTATTTTTTTGGGAAAAAAAAAAAAAAAGAAATCTGTGACAGTCATAACTTTTAGGTACATCTTTGTTTTAGCTATAACTTGGATTGAAGAAACCCATGGCCAACTTCCAATCTGAAAGCATGCAGGGTATGCATGCAGTTGTGATTATAAAAATTCTCCAAGGATTCCACTGCTCTTTGTAACAGGGAACTGGAGACCACTACAAGAAAACAGGAAAGAAAAGAACATAGGTTCACAAAGTGGGCAATACTGCCCCCGAGGGGGCACTGGAACAATTTGGGGGGGTGGGCGCGGTAGTAGCCCTGGGAGCATTTTGAATAAAAATGAGGGGGCATAAGGAAATAGAAGAAAATTCTGAAAAACCGTTGTACATGTTTCATCAGTTGTGTAACACAGTTAAAGTCATAGTGATTACATCATTTTCCAAATAAACACAGAAAATGCAAGTTATAACTGATCACTGGTCAAGTCATCCAACTGGTCTTAACAAGCTAGTGTTGGCTGACGAGTATGTTGGGAAGTCCAGCATGCATTGGCAGTAATATGTGAGTTTACAATATACTATACAGTTACATGATGCAATACTGCATCATCAAAATTTCAATGCAGGAAAACTCCCACAAATTTACAATAAGTTATTAAATTTAAGATGCATCATTAAAAAAATTTATGTTTTTGAAATGAGGCAAATTTCAAAAAAAAAAACCATTAAAGGGTTAAAGAAAGTAGATTTCCAGGAGGGTGCCAAGTAAAAAAAAAATTTTTAAAGGGGCAGTAGGCCAAATAAGTTTGGGAACCTCTGCACTGAAAGGAGGCAGATATAAGATGGTGGATTAGAGTCAGCAACCCAGCTGAACTCTCTCAACATTCTGCTCCAAACAACTTTAAAATAATGCCTCAAATCAAATTTTTGAGTGGTAGAGCCGACAAAAGGTTACAGTCAGGCATATTGCTTTTTTCTAGCCTAAGAAAATCTAGGAGTTTGGCAGGAAAGATCTGTGACAGTGAGAGGAGTCCTGTCCATAGCACATTACACCAACACCACCAGCAGACTTTGGAGGCAGTGGCAGCAATAGCAGCATCAGAAACTCTCAGCCCAGGTACAGTAAAGGGGTCAGACAACTAGTTAGAAAGAGACTCTTTACAGAGGACCCTTTGCTGGCACTGAGTGGCAACTTTAATGCCCAAAGCAGTTCTGAGTCACAGTACCCTGGACGAGAAGAGAGCTAGTGGTAGGTTACAAGACAGTAAGGGTCATGGTGGCAGTTCTATGGCAGAAAGGAACATTAGCACTTGCAGCTGCAGGGAAGCAGGGGCCCTTCCCGAGTAAAAACCATAGCATAGGGGAAAGCAGTGACCATACCTTACCCAGGATCATACTACACTGAAAACACTGAAAACTTGTAGAACCCTGGAACTAACTCTGAAAACAGCAGTACAAAAAAAGTCTGAAATTTGGGACAGGGGCTCTGCAACCCCAGGTGAGCAGAGTCTAACTTTAGCATGAAGTTCAAAGTCAAGAAAAAGGCTATAAAAACGAGCAAACAACAAAAAAAGAATCTGACCATAAAAGGCAACCGTGGTGGCAAGAAGACCCAGACAAACTCAGAAGACAATAATGTGGAAACAAGCAAAGCCTCAAAGAAAAAATGCTAACTGGACACAAGCCCAACAAGAATTCCTGAAAGAGTTAAAGAAAGAGATGTGTGGTAGAGGAATAACTGGGGAAAGAAATGAGAGTGATGCAAGAAAATTATGAGAGTTAATAGCTTACTATATATAAGAGGCACAAAAAAAAAATACTGAAGAAAATAACAACTTAAAAATCAGAATTGGCCTAATGGTAAAAGAGGCACATAAATTAATTAAAGAAAAGAACCCTTTAAAAATCAGAATTGGCCAAATGCAAAAAAGAGGTAAAAAGCTTACTGCAAAAAATAATTTCTCAAAAAATTAGAATTGCGGGGCAGCAAGGTGGCATAGTGGATAGCGTTCCAGCATTGGAGTCAGGAGGACCTGAGATCAAATCCGACCTCAGACACTTAACACTTACTAGCTGAGTGACCCTAGGCAAGTCACTTAGCCCCGACTGCCTCACCAAAAAGCAAATAAATAAATAAATAAATATACATATATTAGAATTGAGCTACTGGAAGCTAGTGATTCTATAAGATATCAAGAAACAATAAAAGAAAATTTAAAAAATGAAAAAAAAAGAAAATAGGAGAAAATGTGAAATATCTCGTCAAAAAAAAATGATCTAGGAAATATATCTAGGACAGATAATTTCATTTAAAAAAGAAACCAAACATCATATTTCAAGAAATTATAAAAGAAAACTGTCCCAATATCTTAGATCCTGAGGCTAAAATAGAAATGGAAAGAATCCACCAATTACTTCCTGAAAGAGATTCCAAAATAAAAACTCACAGGGATATTATAGCCAAATTATAGTTCCCAGGTCAAGAAGAAAATATTGCAAATAGCTAGTACAATTCAAATATGGAGTCACAGGCTTGAACAAAATTTAGCAGCTTCCACATTAAAGGAGCGGAGGGCTTGGAAAATAATATTCTGGAAGGCAAAGGAGGTAGGATTAATCTACCCAGCAAACTCAGTATAATCCTTCAGGGGGAAAAAAATTTAATGAAAGAGGACTTTAAATCATTCCTAATGAAAAGACCAGAGATGAACAGACTCAATAAAGTAAAAATGTTTATATTCCCACATGGGAAGATGATACATTTAACTCCTAAAAACTTTATCATTTTTTAGGGCTGTCAGGAGTCTTCATAGACAAAGGGTATGGGGATAAGTCGATATGTTGGGATGATATCCAAAAAAATATGAAGGGATGAGAAAGAGGGAAGCACTGGGAGAAGGGGGAAAATTTTCTCACATAAAAGAGGCACATAAGGAAGAGCTTTTACAGTGGAGGGGAAAATGGAGGGGTGAAGAATGCTTGCAACACACTCCATTGGAATTGGTTCAAAGAGGGTTAGAGTAGGAGTCTGAGGCATTTAGGGTTAGGGTTAGAGTCGGACACTAACCCTAAATACACATAACACATATATGCACTCAGGTATGGAAATCTATCTTACTCAACAGGGGGAGGAAAAGGAGATATAAGAGAAAGGGGGTGGAAATCATAAAAGAAAAGGTGGATCAAGGGAGGTAGTGGTCAGAAGCAAAACAGACTTTTGACAGGATAAAAAGAGAAAAGAATAAACAGAAGAAAATGAGATGGACAGAAACAGTTATCATAATTGTGAATATGAATGGGATAAGCTCATCCAAAAAACGAAAACAGATAGCAGAATGGATTAGAAACCAGAATCTAGCAATATGTTATTTACAAGAGACACACATGAAACAGTAAGACCCACAAAGACTTAAAGGGGCTGGGGCACAATCTAATATGTTTCAGATGAAATAAAAAAGGCAGGGATAGAAATCATGATCTCAGACAAAACAAAAGCAAAAGGAAAAATAGATGTAATTAAAAGAGATAATCAGGGAAATTACATTTTACTAAAGGTACCACACAATGAAGTAATAGCAAAAATTTTAAGTTTCTCTAACATAGGCTTCATTTCTAAATATATAGAGAATGTATAAAAATAAGCCATTCTCAAATTGATAAATAGTGAAGGGATATGAACAGGTAGTTTTAAGAAGAAATCAAAGCTATCTATAGTCATAGGGAAAAAGATGCTCTAAATCACTATTGATTGGAGAAATGCAAATTAAAACAACTCTGAGGTACCACCTCACACCTCTCAGAAATGACAAGTTCAAGAGGAGATGAGGGGAAATAAGTTCACTAATTTATTGTGGAGAATAATTTGGAACTATGCCTCAAGGGCTATAAAACTGTACATATCCTCTAATTGATACCACTATACCATACTCAATGACACTACTAGATCTGTATTCCAAAGAGATCAAAGGAAAAGGACCTCCATGTATAAACAGATTTACAGCAGTTCTTTTTGAGGGGGCAAAGAACTAGAATTTGAGAGCATGCTCATCAACTGGGGAATGACTCAATAAGTTTCGACACATGATTGTGATAGAATATCATTGTGCTATAAGAAATGACAAAATGATAGGGTAGGGCAGGGATTATTTCAGAAAAACATGTCAAAACATATGTAATCTGAGGTAAAATAAAGTGAGAAGACCTGGGAGAGATCAGTGCACACAGTAACAGCAATGTTTTAATTATGATCAACTTTAAAAGACTTATTCTGATCAATACAACAATCCAAGAACATTCCAAAGGACTCACAATGAAAAAATGCTATCTACCTCCAAAGAGAGAAATGATAATGTTTGAGTGAAAAATTGAAGGAAAATTTTCTCAGTTTATTTTTCTTGCGGTTTTTTTTTTTGGCAATATGGCTAATACAGAAATAATTTCACTTGTATACATTGCTTGCCTTCTCTGTAGGTGAGGGAGGGAGAGAATTTGGAATTCACAATTTAAAAATAAAAGAATGCTAAAAACAAATAATAAATTAGGGGGAAAAAAAAGAAATGCACTAAGGCTCTATTTGGACCCAAACTAAGTGATCTTTTCTTCCATAATGCTTCACTTACTGCTTTTAGAGATTAGGTCCAGACTGTCAATAAGTATCCTTAAGGACAGAAAAGCCTAAAAACTCAACCAGAAGCATTAAGAAGAAAAGACTAAAGAAGGTGTGATAGCCAACTGGTAAGGAGCTATTGGAGGAACTGATATTCCATATCTACCATTCCCAAAAGGAAATAGTCTAGATACACAGAATTCTGTTTTAAAATCGTATTATTAGTTCTCTAAAATTAGGTATTTTTTGAAACACTAGATAATTCTAAGGACCCTTCCAACTTTTCAATTTTAACTACTGCTTTAATCACTGATATTACTGCAATAATTAAATGGCACAATTCTCCAAGAAAAAATACATGTAAACCTAGTTATAATAATGCAATAAAACGCCTGGCTGCTTCAGATATTTTAAAAAAATGAATTTTCTAGAAAAATACTAAGTGATTTTTAATGTTAAATACAGTACTATAATTTTACTCACTTAAATTTCTTACTAGTGAGTTTCCGTGCATAAATGACATTTCAAAAGCCACTGTTCAGCTATGAAGTAACCCCTTACCCAGCAACGGGTTCTGATTTGGGTGCGGTCCTCTTTATTGACTTGTAAGCCCTTTCCATTAAGGGATATAGGTCAGAAAAGTAAAATAAGTTTTACTTTTACGGCATCATCACGCCATCTCTCATCAGGTCTCTAAACTCCAAACACGTGTGTAGTTTTCTTGGTGGTGATCCACGCTAGAAAAATAAAAGATCAAAAAAAAAAAAAAAAGAAAATTAACATTTTACATAACTCAATTTCTAGTGTAAAAAACGTGCACGTGGTATCGGGGATGGAGGGTAGGTGAGAAACGTTCCTGGCTCCTGTATTAAACACTCTTAAGGGACGCAGCTTTGATTTGGGAAAAAACACTCTTTAAATTCTCTGATACTCAGTCTTCACTGATGGCAGTACTTGCTTCCATCACAGGATAGCTGTGAGGGAAAAGTTAAAAAGTAAACTGAAAAAAGCCGAGTCCCGGCTCTCTCCTTTCGCACCCCTCTACTCCCTCCGCTGACCCCCTGCTTCACTCGGGGGGCCTGAGATCTTTAAGTTAACGGGATGCCGGGACCGAAGAAAAAGCAGATAACCTTCGCACTCACCCTCAGACACAGCGTGAAGAACCCTCGCTGGCTCCGTCCCGGAAGTCGTTCTGTGGTCACAGAAGCGCAGGACGGGAAGTCCCGCCTCGCGTCTCACGCTACGCAGCGTCGTACGTCCCACCGAGACAAAGCTTACGGGGGACGCCCTTTGATGGCGTAGGGAACGGAATGGGCAAGCGGTTGTGGTTATTTTGGCCCTGTATTTAAGAGCGGAGGCGTCTGTGTGTTTGTGTGTCAGCTAGTTTGCCGGTTGAGGGTGGGGAATGGGAGGCACGGAGCCAGTTGCTCTTATTCCCGGCTCTTTTCGGTTATTCGTAGACTAGAGTTTTCCTCAAGCCCTGCCCTGCCCGACCACGTGACGTGGCGCGCGGCCGTCGGGCTGAGGCTTGCGCCCGGAAGTTCAGTGTTGTCTCACGTGCAGGGCGGCGCTGTATGGCGCAGACAATCAGTGTTTCTGGTGAATGGATAAGATTATGTGAGGCTACTCATTTTTCTCCAGGGGCTCCCTGTTGCTTCCAGGGTGAAATCCTAATGCTGTCCACAATTTGCAGCTTCGTTTCTTAACTCCCATTCCAAGCACTGGACCTTCCAGCCAAACTGGACAAACTGTGTGCCCCAAAGTCAACTGGTGGCTTCCAGCCCCTTTGCACATGGTGTTCTTTGTGCCTGGATTGCTCTCCCTTCTGAAACCTTGGAATCCTAACTGCTTTCCAGGCTCTTCTAATGTGTATAGGCTTAGCCATAACCTGTCAGTGTTCTTACTCAGTCCTTGGGCTCTATGGAGATAATGAAACAATCCCCTTTTCTGTCACTAAGCAGTAGACCTGGATATTGGCTTTTTATTTCCCCTGACCTTCTCTTTGCAAACAAGGAAATTAAGAAAGAGAAAGAATCTGATTAACACAAGTAATTTATAGTTGTAGTTGTCAGGTCCTACTCTTCTTTTTCTTTATTCTCACCAAGCCAAATCCCTTATCTCTGGTTTTTATATATTTTTTTAAATTCCTGCTTGTAACTTTTACCTCTCTAGATCCACACCCATCCTAAACCTTCTTCTGTCCTTCACCTGACCCCCTGTTTATCTTGTTTCTTGTTGAGTTTAATGTATTTCCACTCACCAAACTTTTTCTCTCTCCAGTCCTCCAGAGGAGTGGGGAGTTCAGATGAGAATGAAGATCATGAAGTTCCGTGCCTTACCTCTTCACCCCACCTTTTATATTTCTATGTACTTTTAATCACATAATTATGCAAAATTAATTTCCGCATTCATTTGTAGTATATTCTTTTTCTCTCCTTTTTTTTTTTTTTGCTTTTTGGTGAGTCAATCAGGGTTAAGTGACTTGCCCAGAGTCACACAGCTAGTAAGTGTCATGTGTCTAAGACTGGATTTGAACTCATGTCCTCCTGACTCCAAGGCCAGAGCTCTATCCATTGCACCACCTAGCTGCCCTTCTTTTCTCTCTTAAAACTAACAAAGTGGAAGAAAATCTCACCCATTGCCAGTGTTAATATTTTTTTTCTGTGACCCTTTAAGACAGCGATAGTCTAAAGGGAACTTTAAAGGGAATTTATCTCTACTATTAGAATATATGTACTTCATTCTGTCAATCCTTTCAACTGTTCAAATGCATTTACCTTTCTAGGTTTCTCTTGATTGCTCTGCTTGCATTTTAAAGTTTCTACTAGAGTTTCTATTTTCATCTAGAATGAGTGACAGTTCTCTATTCTATGAAAGGTCTATTTTTCTCCCTATAGGATTGTATTCAGTTTTATAGGTTAAGTAATTCTTGGTTGTAAACCTTTGTCTTTTGCCTTCTGGATTAACATGTACCAAGATTTTCTCTTCTTTTTAAGATTTGTATCATAGTTTTGAGTGATCCTAACTGTAGGTAAACTTACCCTTTCTGGCAGACTGTAGTATTTTTTTTTTTCTTTAACTTGAAAGCTCTGGGATTTGGCTATGACATTCTTGGATATTTTTATGTTGGGTTTTCTTTTAGGAGGTGAGTGGAGAATATTTTATATTTTACTTTTCTGGTCTAAAAGATTTAGGTGGTTTTGTTTTCTTTTAAAAATATAAATTTTTTGTTGGTTATGGTTTTCAGAGAATACAGTTTTTCTTAAATAACACTGCTTGATTTTTTTTCCAAATGAATTGTGTTTGATTATCTGATTTTTTTATCTTACATTTTCCTCTATTTTTTTCAATCTTTTAGCTTAGTTTAGTTTAATTTTTCAGTCAGTTACCATTCATTAGATGTCTACTACATGGCAGATATGGTAGGCATTGAGGATACAAAAAAAAAAAGACGAGGCCTGACTTCAAAGAACTTATATTCTATTAAAAAGTTACATCCCACACTCAAAACTTCAGGGTAGTATGTGCTTCTTCCCTCTCGTTCATCTTTCTTTTTAAAAAATTTAAAAATAAATTTTTATTGATATCTTCTGTTGTCATTATTATAGTCATCCCCAGTATCTTTCCCCCTCCCTTTCCATACCATTTAAGAAATAATATATATTTTTTAAAGAAGAAAAAAATCAGCATAATTGATAGATATATTGAAAAAATCTGAAAACCTGTACGATGTGTAAACTTGTGGATCTCCCACCTCCACAAAAGGGTGGGGTAGGAGTGTCCTCTCATATCTGTTCATTTGAGTTATGCATTATTTTTGTTACATTCACTTTTGATCTTTGAGGGTGTGTGTTAGTTTGGCAATATGCAAATAGAGTGTCTATAACTTTTGAACTAGAGACTCCATTACTGGGCTTATACCCCAAGGAAGCCATCAATAAGTCCCCATTTATACCAAAATACTTGTAGTAGTACTTTTCATGATAGCAAAGACAGTTACCTTGGAAAGTACTTAACTATCATTTGGAAAATGGCAGCACAAATTGTGGTAAAAAAAAAAATTGTGTGTGTGATAAATATAGAGAAGCCCGGGAAGATCTTCATGAAACATCTTTATGATGAAAAGTGAAGTAAGCAGAGCCAAGAAAACACTGTAAGTGTTAAATTCAGCAGTGTAAACGGGAAGGATTCTAACTTATACTTACATTACATTACAGATAATACTTTCTGCTGGTTTTAGATACTTGTCATTTTAAGGAAAGCTCTATTTCTTCCTATGCCCTCTAATGTTTTTAATAGGAATTGGTATATTTTGTCAAGGGCTTTTTCTGCATCCATTGACAACAAAAATTTCCATGTACACAGCACAACACAAAAAGAGAATTCAATATGAAACCATGAAAAATTATGTATTAATTACTACACATCATTTTCAAAGCTACCCTGCTTTTCTGTGCTTCCTTCTGAGTTTTCTTTTGTTCTCTGCTATGTACTTTAAATTTTTTTCTCCCTCCCTCCTCACTTTTCACTAGAGAAGGTCACCATTAGATACAGATATGTATATATTTATATATGTAAATATATGTATATACATATACTTATATATGTAAAACCATACTATACCTGCTTCTTTTTTATCAGTTCCTTCTCTAGAGATGTATAGCATCTTTCTTCATAGTTCTTTTGTAAGTAATTTGAATATTTCTAATACTCAAAATAACTTAGTCATTCACAGTTGCTCTTTGAACAATATTGGTGTTATTTTTCCACATTCCCTCCAACATTTGTCATTTTCTACTTCTATCATTTTAGCCAATCTGATAGATGTGAGACTCGTAATCTTATAAGTTTGACAAAGTTCTATATATATACTTGAGATATGAAAGCTTTATCTAAGAAACTGTCTATAAATTTTTTTTTTCAGTTTTCTGCTTCCTTCTAATCTTGGCTACATTGGTATTATTTGTTCAATAACTTTTTAATTTAATGTAATCAAAATCAATCATTTTATACCTCACAATACTTTCTCTCTTCTTTATTCATAAATTGCTCTCCTATTCATAAGTCTGATAGGTAATATGTTCCATGTTCTTCTAATTTTCTCATGATATCTCCCTTTGTATCCAGGTCATGTATTCCTTTTGACCTTATCTTGGTAAATGGTGTGAGATATTGGTCTGTGCCCAATTTCTGCTTTCCAGTTTTCCCAAGAATTTTTACCAAATAGTGAATTCTTATCCCCAAAGCTGAAATCTTTACATTTGTTAAACACAAGATTCCTATAATCATTTAGTACTGTATATTTTATGTCCACTCTGTTCCACTGATCTACCTATTTCTTAGTACCAGATAGTTTTGAAAATTACTGCCTTATTATATAGTTTAAGATATGGTACTACTAACACTCCTTCCTTTACTGTTTTTTTTCATTGATTCCTTGACCTTTTGTTTTTCCAAATGAATTTTGTTATTTTTTTCTAGCTCAATAAAATGATTTTTTGGTAATTTAATTGGGATGGCATTAAATAAGTAGATTAGTTTAGGTAAAATTGTAATTTTTATTATATTGACCCTGCCTGCCCATGAATAATTAATATTTCTCCAATTTTTAAAATCTGACTTTATTTGTATAAAAAGTGTTTTATAATTTTGTTCATATAGTTCCTGGGTTTGTCTTGGCAGGTATGCTCCTTGACATTTTATACTATTTACAGTTATTTTAAATGGGGTATCTCTTACTATCACTTTTTAAAAAAATTTTAATTAATTTATTTTGAATTATCAACAATCACTTCCATAAGCTTTTTTTTTTTTTAGGCAATTGGGGTTAAGTGACTTGCCCAGGGTCACAAAGCTAGTAAGTGTCAAGTGTTTGATCTGAGGCCAGATTTGAACTCAGGTCCTCCTGACTTCAGGGCTGGTGCTCTATTGACTGTGCCACCTAGCTGTCCCCCATAAGCTTTTGAGTTTTAAATTTTTCTCCCTCTCCCACCCCACCTCCCTTCCCGAGATTGCACGCAATCTGATATAGGCTATACATATATATATTCCTATTAAACATATTTTCACATTAGTGATGTTGTAAGTAAGAATTAGAAGCAATAGGAGGAACCACCAGAAAGAGGAAACAAAACACAACAGAAGGAAAAAAAAATAGCAAATAGTATGCTTCGATCTGAATTCAAACTCCATAGTTCTTTGTTTGGATGTGGATAGCATTTTCCAACATGAGGCCTTTGGAGATGTCTTAGATACTTGTATTGCTGAGAAGGGTTATGTTATCAATATCAGTCATAGCACAATGTGGCTGTTATTGTGTACAAGGTTCTCCTAGGTTCTGCTCATTTCACTCAGCATCAGACCATACAAGTCTTTCCAGGTTTTTCTGGATTCAGCCTGTTCATCATTTCTTATAGCACAATAGTATTCCATTACATTCATGTACCACAACTTTTTCAGCCATTTCCCAATTGATGGGCATCCTCTCAATTCCCAATTCTTTGCTACTACAAAAAGAACTGCTATAAATATTTTTGTACATGTAGTTCCTTTTACCATTTGTATGATCTCTCTGGGATATAGCCCTAGAAGTGCTATTGCTGGGTCAAAGGGTATGCACATTTTTATAGCCCATAGTTCCAAATTGCCCTCCAAAATGGTTGGATCATTTCGCAACTCCACCAACAATACATTAGTGTTCCAATTTTCCCACATCTTCTCCAACATTTATCATTTTTCTGTTTTGTCATGTTGGCCAATCTGATAGGTGTGATGTGGTACCTCAGATTTGCTTTGATTTGCATTTCTCTAATCAATAGTGATTTAGAGCATTTTTTCATATGACTATAGATGGCTTTAATTTCTTCATCTGAGAACTGCCTGTTCATATTCTTTGACCATTTATCAATTGGGGAATGACTTGCATTCTTATAGATTTGATTTAATTCTCTATATATTTTAGAAATGAGGGCCTTATCAGAGAGACTGGTTGTAAAAATTCTTTCCCAATTTTCTACCTTCCTTCTAATCTTGGTTGCATTGGCTTTGTTTGTGCAAAACCTTTTCAATTTAATGTAATCAAAGTTATCCATTTAGCTTTTCATAATGTTCTCTATCTCCTGTTTAGTCATGAATTCTTCTCTTCTCCATAGATCTGATAGGTAAACTATTCCTTGCTTTTCCAGTTTGCTTACAGTATCAGCCTTTATATCTAAATCATGAACCCATTTTTACTTTATTTTGGTATATGGTGTGAGATTTTGATCTATGCCTAGTTTCTGCCATACTCTTTTCCAGTTTTCCCAGCAGTTATTGTCAAAGAATGAGTTCTTATCCCAGAAGTTGGGGTCTTGGGTTTATCAAATAATAGATTGCTATAGTCATTGACTACTGTGTCTTGTGCACTTAACCTATTCCAGTGATTCGCCAGTCTATTTCTTAGCCAGTACCAAGCAGTTCTGATGATTGCTGCTTTATGATACAACTTAAGATCTGGAAGGGCTAGGCCACCTTCCCCTGTATTTCTTTTCATTAGTTCCCTTGATATTCTGGACCTTTTGTTATTCCAAATGAATCTTGTTATTGTTTTTTCTAATTCTATAAAATGATTTTTTGATAGTTTGATTGGTTTGGCACTGAATAAGTAAATTAGCTTAGGCAGAATTGTCATTTTTATTATATTAGCTCGGCCTACCCATGAGCAACTGATGTTTTTCCAGTGATTTAGATCTGACTTTATTTGTGTGAAAAGTGTTTATAATTGTGTTCATATAGTTCATGGGTTTGTTTTGGGAGGTAGACTCCTAAATATTTTATGATGTCTACAGTAACTTTAAATGGAATTTCTCTTTCTATCTCTTGCTGTTGGGTTTTGTTGGTAATATATAGAAATGCCAATGATTTATGTGGATTTATTGTATAGCCTGCAACTTTGCTAAAGTTGTTTATTATTTCAAGTAGATTTTTACTTGATTTTCTAGGATTCTCTAAGTATATCATCATATCATCTGCAAAGAGTGATTTACTATCACTTCTTGCAGGGTTTTGTTGGTGATATATAGAAATGCTGATGATTTATGTGGGTTTATTTTATATCCTGATATTTGGCTAAAGTTATTAATTTTTCAAACTAACTTTTACTTGAATCTCTAGGATGTTCCAGGTATATCATCATATCATCTGTAAAAAGAGATAGTTTTATTACCTCATTGCTCATTCTGATTCCTTCAATTTCTTTTTCTTCTCATTGCTATTGCTAGCATTTCTAATATAATAGTGAATAATATTGTGACAACAAGCATCCTTGTTTCTCTCTTGATTTTATTGGGAAGACTTCTAGCTTATCTCCATTACAAATAATGCTTGCTGGTGGTTTTTGGTAGATGCATCTTATTGCTTTAAGAAAAAAAAAATCCATTTATACCTATGCTTTCAAGCATTTCTAATAGGAATAAGTGTTGTATTTTATCAAGATTTTCTTGTATCTATTGATGTAAGATTTTTGTTACTTTTGTTATTCATATAATCAATTATATTAATAGTTTCCCTTATATTAAACCACCCCTGCATTGCTGGTATAAATCCCACTTGATCGGAATGTACAATCTTTGTGATACATTGTTGTAGTCTCCTAGCTAGTATGTTATTTAGCATCTTTGTATCAATATTCATTAGTGAAATTGGTCTATAATTTTCTTTCTCTATTTTTACTCTTCCTGGTTTAGGTATCAAAATCATATTTATTGGGGCAGCTAGGTGGCGCAGTAAATAAAGCACCAGCCCTGGAGTCAGAAGGATCCGAGTTCAAATCCAGCCTCAGACACTTGACACGTACTAGCTGTATAACCCTGGGTAAGTCACTTAACCTTATTGCCTAGCAAAAAACAAAACAAAAAAACAACCATATTTGTTTCATAAAAGGAGTTTGTTTAGCAGGACTCCTTTGCCTATTATTTTGAATAATTTATGTAACATTGGAATTAATTGATCTTTGGATGTCTGTTAGAATTCACTTGTACATGCATCTGGTCCTGATGCTTTTTTTTTCTTTGGAAGCTCATTTATGGCCTTTTCAATTTCTTTTTCTAAAACAGACTTATTTAGATATTCTATCTGCTAATCTAGGCAGTTTATGTTTTTGTATGTTTCTCCATTTCACTTAAATTCTTAAATTTATTGTCATATAATTGGGCAAAACAATTCCTTATAATTGCTTTAGTTTCATCTTCATTAGTGGTATTTTCACCCTTTTCATTTTTGATACCAGTAATTTGATTTTCTTCTCCCTCTTTTAAAAACAATGACAACAATGGTTTATCTATTTCATTGTTGTTTTTTTTTTTCATAAAACCAACTTCTAGTTTTATTTCTTAATTCAATGGTTTTCTTACATTCAATTTGATTAATCTCACCTTTAATTTTTAGGTTTTCCAATTTGGCATTTAATTGGGGACATTCAGCTTGTTCTTTTTCTGGTTTTTAAATTGTATCCCCAGTTCACTGCTTTCTCTTTCTCTATTTTATTGATATAAATAGTTAGAAATATGTTTTCCTTTGATTACTGTTGTTGCTGCATCCCATAGGTTTTTGTATGTTGTCTCATGATTGTCATTCTCTGTAATGAAATTATTGTTTCTATGATTTGTTCATGAATCCACTTATTCTTTAAGATTAGGTTTAGTTTCCAATTAATTTTTAATTTGTGTTTCCATAACTCTTTATTAAATATAATTTCATTACATTATGATCTGAAAAGGGTGCACTTAGTATTCCCACTTTTCTGCGATTAACTATAAAGTTTTTGTGCCCTAATATATGGCCAATTTTTGTAAAGATGCCCTATATCCCTGAGAAAAATGTATATTCCTTTCTATTGCCATTCAATTCTTTCCAGAAATCTGTCTTATCTCAAATTGTATTCCTCTCCTTGATTTCTTTCTAATTTATTGTTTGTTTAGATTTATCTGAGAGGGGAAGATTCAAGTCCCCCACTATCATAGTTTTGCTCTCTATTTTCTTCTGTAATTCATTAGATCTTCCTTTAAAAATGTAGATGCTATAGCATTTGATCCATATAGATTTCATATTGATATTACTTCATTATCTATGGTACCTTTTATCATAATGTAGTTTTCCTATTTATCTCTTTTAATCTCTTTTATCTACTGCTTATCTATTTTAGCTTTAACTTTGCCTGAGATCATGATTGCTACCCCTGCTTTTTTTTTTTAACATCAGCTGAAGCATAATAAATTTTATTCTACTTTCAACCTCTCAGAACAGTATGTTGTGGTTCCATGTTCTCCTCAAATTCTGCTGGGTCCTCTATATCCTCAAATATTGGGTCACTTTCCTTTGTTTTGCAGTATTTATTCATAGATGCCTGAACTAGTTTTCTTGACCTGGAAGCCATATTTCCTTCTGCTGTTAATGTCTTACCTGTTCATTTATCTGATTATGTTCAAGGTCTTTGAGTTTATTTCCTGAGATCTTTTGGTAATTTCAATCTACTGACCATCTCCTTTGATGGTGGCTTCCCTGGGGGCTGGATCTCAAAATTTCTTAGCTTCTTCCCATGAATGGGTCAGAATATGTCACAATGGAAAAATACCCCAAAATGGGATTGCAGATCCATTGAAATATTTAGGTGTTTAAGACATCTTCAGTATTTTAAAATTTGACATGATTATATGTTGTTATGGTGTGCCAGCCTAGATCTCTGCCCCAAGTAATTTTTGGAGACACAGAACTGTCCTTAGGGGGATGCTGTGCTCTTTGCCTCAGGTTTAATGCCACACAGGTCCTGTACACATGGTGTCTTATTCTACTCCTTTTTCTTAGTTCTCTGGCCAGCACCAACAGTTTAGAGCATTGCCCATTGGTACTGTGGGACTGATTCCTGTAGCTTGGGTCTCCAAAATTCTGGGAGGAGGGCTGTCGATCAAAGTATGCAAGCTTAGACACATGTCCTATTCCTTCCCCTCTGATTAATGCAACAATTTCAGAGGATTAATGAAGAAGCATGTCATTCACCTCTTGAAAAAGAGAGGAGATAGATTCAAGATACAAAATGAGACATTTTTGGACACAGCCAATGTGAGAATTTATTTTGTTTGGCTATGCATATTTATTAAAAGGTCTTTTTTTTTTCATTGGGGGAGGTAGGATGACAAGGACAATAAGATAGCAAAAAATATTAAAAAAGTCATGAAGCATCTTTTTAAAAAATGCAAAGGAAAGCCATAAGGAAGCATAAGCAAGATAACTTTGAAAGCTACAGGTAGAATTTATATGCTCAAAAGGAAATGCAAGCTGCATATAACAGATCTGGATTTCATTTACAATTCATTTACAATTCTTTTTCTATCTATGCATATGGAAATATCCATTTTATTTGGTGTTAAATTAGGACTCAACAAAATAGAAAAAGATCCCTTTCACCTCAAAATGTGTCATTCTTTAAGTGACTCAAGCAGCTTTTTATCTCAGTATTAATAGTGGACTCAGTTGAGTGGCTTCTTAGGAAGACACTGTTCTAGCCCATTCTCATGGGGGTTAGGGTAAAAAAGGAGCATTGGTAGCAGTGGGGAGAATAAGAAAGATCTTTGGATCCATTTGTCTTGTCAAGTAGGATAGAAGTTTCATTTTAATCTACTATAAGGTATCACCTACTTGTATGACTATAGACAAGTCACTTAACTTCTCTAAGACTCAGTTTCATCTTTTGCAAAATGATGATAATATATGCATAATGGTGATAATACCTAACGGTTTTTGTGAGGCTCAAATAAGGTCATGTATGTAAAGTGCTTTAGTTATTATTATGCAAATGCAGATCCTAGAAGAGGTTTCCCCATCCCTTGATCCTTCCCCTTACTAGAGAAGATTATGGCATGTCCTCTACCCATCAGGTTTTCTGGCACAGAGAAACTTTACTTATGTACCATTATACTATGTGCCATAAAATCAAAGCTAATCCTGCTTTGTTAAACAAAGGAGTGCATAAATAAGAGAAAACATGGGTGCTGCTTGTTATGTTTAATTTTAGTCAGTTTTACAGAGTCATCAAAACCATTTATAAATCAAAGAATATAACTTGCTCTAAATTTGAATTAAGTGGCAGTATTTGTAATGACTACCTTTAAACTCTCAAGAACATGGCTTTTCAAAAATCAAACAATTCTAACAATAGGCTTTAAAATAAGATTGTAAAGAAAAAAAAATGGCAGACTGTAAGTTTACTTTCTTTATCCCACAAAAGTCTGAAAAATGAAAACAAATTCACATTTCCTTAAGAAAAAAAAAAACCAAAAAGCAAAATCAGATAGTTATCAGAAGCATTCTGATTCAGCATACCAAAGTTGGGAAGAGGTAGAAGCTGCTCTTTTGATTCTAACATTCTTAATGCAGCTTTCTAAGGGGCAGACACAGCATCTCTCTTTTTTCCTAAATGCTTTGCTTTCTTTTTGTGCAGCTTCTAGTTACAATTGGCATTCGAGAAAAATGAACAGTTGTTTTGGCTTTTAAAGCATTTTTGAGGTATTTGAAAATTGATTGTAGGCTTGTAGAAGGTGCTAAGCTATGATTTTCTGTACCAGCAGAAACCTTTGGACAATCCATTTTTAAAACAGTGGCTACAGGTTTATCCAATGGCTTGTGGCTTGTTATCCATTCTCGACAGTGGTGTTTTATCCATGCTAATAGCTGTGTGTCATTTCCCAGCTGGTGCTCTACATGGTGTGCAGAATCAATAAGGGCTACAGCATATACTTTGTTCATTACTTCCCACTTTTTCTGAACAAGTAGGTCCATGAAAACCAAACCTCCATAACCATGGACAATGAAAGCTACATTCCTGGCTGCACTTTTCAAAATGAAATGATTCCAGATGTAGGCAGTATGTTCTTCAGGTGTACTACTGTATTTTTTAGGAATGCACTGGGCAACCTTAGACAAAGAAAATGGGTTCCCAGACTGAAACATTTCTGTGGAAGATGACTCAATAGTGTATCCTAGAGGACTTTGACACTCTTTTTCTAGCTTTAAATCCATGAAATTATCATTAGGATTTAAAACAATGATACCATAATCTGATTGCAGTGCTAGTTGAATACAAGGTATTTGACTTCCATGTTGCAGGCCATGACGGACTATGGTCTGTTGACTCCACTGCCCAGCCCGAAAAACTCCATGGTCTTGAAGGAGAACAAGAAGGGAAGGATTAGTTAAGGCATTCTCACTCATGAAAAAGAAGCTCCTTGGTTCCATGATAGCCTGGATTGGGATATATACTTTGTGTAGTTTGCATACCTTCTCCAAGAGCTCATAAATGTAACATTCAAGCAAATAGCCAAGGGCCTGGTAGCGCTTGCTATTTCTCTCAAGAGTATTTTTGTAATAATTAAAGACAAAGGGCTCATGTGTTTCTGTGTGTCTTAATTCAGCCTTTTCATTGAAGTCATACTTAAGTTCTTCCATATATGCTGACTGCTTCATGAATTTTTGGAAGCTCAACTCCTGTGTTATCAGGAACCACTAGAAACAAAGAAAAAAATATATATATATGTATGTGTGTGTGTTCAAAAATGTGTTTTTAACCTGAAAACTTTTATTCCTATGAAAAAAGTTCTTTCCTGGGATCAAGTGAACACTTTAAGAAGTATTATATTATATTATGTTATATCATGTTATTAGTCTGAGACAAAATTCCCCACCTCCCAAATCATTGTGGATTTGGGGGATACATGTAAAGTTTGGCTAAGGGTTAGGAAATGAATGGTCAAAATACTTGATAGCTATTTGTTATTTAGCATATTCATTAATGCATAATTTATTTTTTACAGTTAAAAATCTGGCTATTCATTCAGATTTGATTCTTGTAAGATTTGAATTAATACATATTTTCCTGCTTTAACTGGGCAAGTAATGCTTTATACCATGAGATGAAGAAAGTAAAGGCCAATTTTAAAAGCCCTGTATATGTGGGGGAGGGACAAACACAAGCTCATAAAACAGTAGATACTGACAACTTACTGAAATTTATTTGCAAGACTGAATTAGGGGACCATTACTATTGGGTAACAGTTATCTTACTGCTGTGAAAGATTTCCCATAGAATTTAAGTTCCTTGAGAACAGAGACTATAATTTTTTCTTTATATCATTACTGCATAGCAGTGTTGGGAATACAGTAAGCATTTAATAAATACATGGTGAATTGAATTCATGCATTTCTGAGGTACACAAAATCTCCTAGAGAATATAATTTACATGGGGAGGAAGCAGATGAATCACTATCACCAACTTTGTAATATCAAACCAATTCCTTCTCACTAGAATTTCCTTCTTAGGATTTTATCTGCTTACCATTCCCACTTCTCTCAAGCACATCAAGATGTATAAGTGAATGTAGAGACAACACAATTAAAATCAACATGAAGTGAGACACAAATAGTTCTAGCAAGCTTAATTTCTTTCCTTTTTTTGGGGGGGGGTGAGGCAATTGGGGTGAAGTGACTTGCCCAGGGTCAGACAGCTAGTAAGTATCCAGTGTCTGGTGTGCTAGATTTGAACTCAGGTCCTCCTGACTCCAGGCCCGAGATGCTCTATCCACTGCACTCTCTAGCTGCCCTGAAAGCTTAATTTCTTAAAGGACTGATTAGGATGGTCCCTCAAGGTTCAAAGAATCATTTTCCTATTGGTCTTAATACTAGCTAGCATGTAATCTTTTTTCTCCCCAATTCTTTTTAAATAACTACCTAATACAACAATTCTGAGCAGAATAAGCAAAAATTTTAAAAGTATAGGAGCATATTTTAGCAGAAAAAACTGAAATCAGGTTCTTTATTTAACCTGTGAAATTGTAAACTCATTGAGGACTGAGACTCTTGTTTTTGTCTTTGTATTCCCAGTGCTTGAGAGGTAGCCTGGCCTAGAAGATAGTGAGCTGGCCTGGAATCAGGAAGCTCTGAGTTCAAATTCTGCCTCTCCCAAATATATGATGTACATGTACATACATCATGGTTTTTACACACACACACACACACACGTGTGTATATCTCTCTCTCAATCCCAGGGTCAGTTATTTAACCTTTTAGTGTTTTAGGTAACTGTATGTTACCAATGTAGTTGCAGAGAAAGGGCTGACCTGCTTTGGAAGAAGGAGTAGACTATGAGCTACTTGAAAGCAAGTACTGTTTTTTTGCCTTTCTTTGTAACTCTAGTTACTTAGTATACTAAATAGTATATATACTAGTACAACTAGTACTTAGCATCTGCTCATAGTAGGCACTTAATTGATGCTTGTTGATTTGATTAGTTGATCTCCTATATCAATATCCTTATTTCTTTCCCCTGTGCCTAGCACATGGTTAAGTGCTTAATAAATGTTTGTTGAATTAATTTTGGACTTATATTCTGCCCCAGAAAAGAAATACTGCTATGGTTGGTAAAAAAAAAAACAACAAAGAAAAACCTGTTGTATTCTACTCTAGATATAGCCAGTTGGGAAGCAAAAGCGAAAAAGTTTGTTCAGAATATTTGAAACAAGAAGTTTTTTGTGGTGAGATCTTAAAAAGCTGTATTACCTAGTTTTCTTACTTTCAGCAGTTGCTATCAATAATTTTATGACATCAATATAAATTTCTAGGAAAAGAGGAGTAGCCAAAAAAAAAAAAAAAAAGGAAGTGACTTGGTCACAGTAACCATTAAAATCTACCACTAGGGTTGGAACTGGAATCCATGTCCCCTGCTTGTGGTCAAGTACCTTGCTATTTAACTATTGTCCTCTAAGAAATAGGAATTATGGAGAACTTAAGCACTTCAACATGAAACTCCATTAAAAAAGATCTGTCATTTAAAAAAACAAAAACAGAACTAGTAATTTGGTACTAAAATAGAACTATTTTACTTCCAATAAGCAATGCAATTATGTATTGGGCAACAGTAGTTATCCTGCCTATCTACATTTATTATTCCATTAATCAGTATGAAACAATATCTATTACTATTATATAAAAATAGATGTGAAGAATGAACTATAGAATTGAAGACTGAGGAAGCGCATAGTATTTCTTAACAAAGAGGAAGGAATTATTTTTGAATGATAGTGAACAACTTTTTTCTCCATTATTACTCCTGATGAAACAAGGTATGAATTCAAAGAAGTGCTATCATTTAGATATTAGGAAAAAAACTTTCTAAATGTCTGTAACATTTATAGTTAAGAAGATTTTAAAGATAAGAGTGAACAATTTGAGAACAAAAGGCTGGCAGTTATCTGGTATTGTTTAAATTCCAGCTTTGCTCAATTAATCTAGAAAGGCATTCTATTGCATATGTTTGTTTTGACTGTCAGTCTGATTAAGAAGTTGAAAAATATCCCCCAAAGCACATGTAAACTTACTTACATTCATGTTATGCTTCAAACAAATTCACTTCCATTCAGAAAAGACTTGTGCAGATTTCATTTAGTACTACTCAAAGGAATCTGTTAATTGACAACATGAAGTGAATTATAAATTTTAGCCAGCCAATATATGTAAATGATTAAAATAATTAAAATAAAAATACTAATTACTAAAATACTGTCTTGCCTACATATAAAATTTAAAGAAACCTAAGAATTTTGACATTAATAGTATATAACAATAAAACAATTCTTCTGTTTACCATAATAATGGTAAGGAGTTTAGTCTATTTCCCCAACTCAAAATTGAGTTTATTAATTTCTATCTTCAAATTGTTTATAGGGAAACAGTGCTATAAAATGTGAGATCTGGAATGTATAAAAGATAGAACTTTATTTTCTCAACTATATTATTAATATAATTATCCACTTTTCCTTTTTTTAATGCATTTACTTTTGCCAGAATATTTCAAAAACCCTTTCAGGTGAAGATTCTATGTTTTATAAATGGGGAAAGAGATCTTTTTAAATGAATTGTTTGCTCAAGAGATTGAGAAAAAATTAAAATCACTAACTTCAAAATCCTTTTTTTCCTTTTAAATTTCACAAGTATAGAGAATATAAGATGATAATGACCAACAGATAAGCTATAAGGAGAATAATGAGGCAAAAATTCTAATATTTAAAAGCTACAGTTTTCAGTAAAAGCCCAACAAGACCACTCACTGGAATTTATTCATGGTGCTTTAATTGGTTCTTCTGGCTCACATAAATCTTTAAGAAACATATAAGTTTGATTGAAAACATCTGATTAACTTCTTAAGCTCAAGTTTCTTGAAAGTACATTTCTTATCGTTAATATGGTAAACTTTCAGAACTCAATCAATGCTACTTGTTTCCTCTTATTAATTTTCCCATCTCTTTATTTGCAATTAATTTGGTCACTGTGATACCCCTTTAGTAACTCAAGACAGCAGGATCCTACCATAGTATTTAATGAAACTCTTAAAAATGAAATTTATAAGAAATCTAGAATATGGATGTTTTACCATTTATGAAATCCCACTTACATTGTTATACCTTAACATTTAATGCTAAAACATCACATTTTAAAATGATACAGATTCCAATTCCAATTATTTTTCTGAATTTCTTGGATTTTATTAAAATCACAAATAGGTATCTTGAAAAATGGATGCTTTATTTTCATAGTATTTCTCAAGTGGCACTTTTTACACTTGATTGGTCCTGTTTATTTCTGCATATTTTCTCACTTAAAATGAAAGAAATGTATGATTCAGTTCATTATGTCTAAAAGACATGATTTAAATTCATAGAATATCAGTTAGAAGGGGCCTCAGAGGTCCTCTAGTACAACTGCTCTTTTTATAGATTAAAAAACCGAGGGCCAGAGAAGTTAAGCGATTTTCTCAAGATCACAAAGTAGTAGTAGTAGTAGTAGTAGAAGTAATAACAACAAATAATAAAAATAATAATAGCAGTAGCTGTCATTTATGCAATGTTTTAAGATTTTTGAAGTTTTGCTGATATCTTATTTTTACATTAGTCACATGTGAATATATATCTCTCCCCACCCACCACACCTACCTTGCTTCCTTTGTAACAAAGAAAAAACAATAGTTAAGTAAAAACAACTGACACAATGATCTAGTGCTTTAAGAACTGTCAAGTGCTTCACAATTTTGTGAGGTGGGGGTTACTAATTTTCCTTACGGATAAGGAAACTGAAGCTTAGAGAAGTTGGCTTATTCATGGTCAGAGGGCTAGCAAGCATCAGAGTGAGATTCAAACTCAGGCCCTCTGATTCCAAATCCAGTGCTCATTCCACTATACTATACTGATTCCAAATAAATTATACTAAAACAACAACAACAAAACTATGATTCATCAAGTCCCATATTAGGAATTCTTCAATGAGTTTCATAACCATGAAAAAGAGATGGGTTTAACAATTCATATGGATGAAGAATGCTTACTATTGCTATTATGGCATGTATTTAAACTGACAATCCATTGAATTATTCCATCAACATAGTACCCATATTTTCCACAGGTACTATAAATGGGCAATGGACCAATTTTAAGATTGAATAGGAGAAAGTGAATGGGCTTGATTGTATTTGGGAAACTGGGCAGTACTTTCGTTGAGCCCTAGCTGCTAACATGTATATATCCATTTTTAGACCCTAATATTGTCCAGTTAGGCTATATTGTTATGGCTCAGGGAAGATCACAGTCTCTTGAGAATAAAAATTGTGGGTAATCCAAAGGGCAACAGAGACTCATGTTAAGGGGTGAGTAGACTGAGACATTACCCACAATGAACTGTACATAAAAATGGTATTAAAAAGTATTATTTAGGAAATGTATGTTTGCAAAAGAAAAATGGGTCACTCACATAGGAATAGGAGAATAAATAATAGTCAGCCTGGATTCTACTGTTAAACACCTTGAAGGCCTCTAGTGCATTGGGTAGATTTTATTGAAGAATTTATGAGAGGACATGGACAAAAATTACACAGATTGAGAAGGCATAGATGTGTTGTGATCTACACTAATGGGTGAGTATACTCCTTTCCATTCCTTCTCCTCAGTGTTGGATATCCTGAAGGCAAAATGGTGTGGTTAATAATTGTACTGGACTTGAAGTGAGGAAGAACTAGGTTCAGACTTTACCTCAGATAATTTGCTTTTGTGATCATGGGAAAATCCCTTAACCTTGCTTACCCTCAGTTTCCTCATCTGTTAAATGGGGATAATAATGCCTGTAGCATCACCTTATAGGATTACTGTGAGGTTTTGACTACAATAATATATGTAAAGCATTTTCCAGAGCCTCAAGTACTACTATGAAAATATATTCATAAATAGTAGTCATAAAATGGGGATAACAGTACCACTCACCTCCCTGGTTTGTTGTGAGCATCAAATGACATATGTAAAGTGCCTTGTAAACCTTAAAGTGTTATATTAGTGTCAATTATTATTATTATTATTATTGTTAGTAGTATTAAAAGTTGTGATTATGGGAAACAAGCCCAGGTAACCTGAATGACCATGCTTAGGTGGCTGCAGAGGGCTGCCTTAAAGGACCATGGAGGGGGGAACCAGGTATGTGGGGAGAAAGGGCCTCAGGCGGTGAGATCCTCTTTGACCCAAAGTGGTCCTTGGTCCCTGCCTGGAATGGAAGATGAGAGAACCTATGCATTCCTGATCATCAGGCAAGGTTCTGTGAAATCAAAGTTTAGCAGGAAGTGGAACACAAGGTCCTTGTCTGTCACTCCATTAAACCTGGATATAATCAACTAATCAACAAGCATTTCATAAGCTTCGTGTCAGGCCCTGTGCTAGGTACTGGTGATAAAATTATAAAGAATGAAACAATCCCCACTTGGAACTAGAACAAGTATCTCAGGCTGACACAAGGTGGGTCTAGTGTTTCCACCAGCTGCAGGTTAGGCTTCAAGAATTATTACTATTAGCACAACTTAGTCCAAGAGCTACAGAAAACACTTCATCTATGAAGTAGTTAACAGAGACTGCCTTTTCTTTGTATTCTCAGCGCTTAGCACAGAGTCAGTCAGCCCTTAAATCAGTGCTGGTTGATTACTGATTGAGAGTAACGCTGTGCAGGACTAGGAACAAGAGCCCGCAAGGAAGCTTAAATTCCCCATCTCCTGCTGCGTCTGCAGGGCCCCCGGGAAAGTTTGCTCAAGGGTGAGTGCTATTTTTGTAAGTTTCTTGGCTATTTTCTTGGCTATGTAAATAAATGTGTAGAAGTCTGGACCCAAGAGCCTGATCAGCTCGAAGGTTAAAACGACAAGGCCACAGATTGGGAGGAATACATTCTTTCTGAAGAACTTTGATAGTGTCTGTTATCTAGATATCGAAGACCAAGCCCAAGGAGAGGTTGCATGACTTTCCAATGATCTAATGGGTGGGCGTGCTCCAGATGAGGAAACTCTGAAATCAGCTCAAGCGGGTGAACTCAGGCCCTTCCATTCCTGAACAGAAATACTGGAAGCATAACGAGTTTCAAGAAGACAAGTATGGGTGATGAGTTATAGTTAACTAGAGATGGAGATAACAGGTGGGGAGTTGACTGTTCTAAACAAAATCTCCTTTCACAAGTTTGGCGGGCTGTCTACACTTGACAATCGGAAGGGGCGTGTGTACACACCGCGTCTCCCACCCTTGCCTTCCCAGAGCAATCTCTGGCCGTCGCCTCGGCTTGCACAGGTTCGGGCGAGGCTGTCCCGGGAGTTGCTAGGGGGTCCCGAAGTTCCTCCCACCCCCACCCCGCGGCGGGCTTCTTTCCCCCCTCCCCTCAAGCCTTTCACCCCGTCTCCTGATAGTCTTTTCGTTTTTCTGAAAAGCATCCACATTTACCAAACCCATAGCGAAGAGGAAAGCAAGCAGCCCTTGCAGCTCAAGAGGCGGGCGCCCCGGCATCCGAGAAAGAAGCGGAAACGCACAGACGGGGTGGGCCTGCGAGGGCAATGTTTGGGGTCTAGGAGGGAGGACTAGAAGGGGCAGGGAGGGAAGTGTTCTATTTCCGGTCCGGGAGCGGCCTCGGGCTGCTGCGCAGACGCACCGGCCCGCTCTTCCCGTCCTTCCTTCCTCTCCCTCCCCTCTCCCAGCCCCCTCCCCCGGCTCCGGCCCCGGCCCCGCTGGTCCTTCTGCGCTTTCCGTGGTGCTGCCGCCCCTGCCGCCGCCGCCGCCCCAGCCGCACCGGAGGACATGGAGAGGAAGGCGAGGTCCGCGCGATCCGGGGGTCGGCGGCCCTTACCGGGTGAGAAACATTCAAAAGGGGGTGGGACGGTTGTTCCACCGAGAGAAGGGGAGTTCGCGGGGCAGCGGCTCCCCCGGCCGTGGAGACGCGGGTGTGTGACAGAGAGAATGGCGGGGACGACCCGGGCCCGGCCCGAGCGGCTCTCTTCAGAAGGGAAGCCCAGGCCGCCTGCGCCCCCGCGAGCCCCCACCGGCTCTGCGCTAGCTGTCACCCGGCGGGGGGGGAGGTTTCGCCGCCGCCCGGACCTCGGGGAGCCCGGGAGCCCGGCAGCCCGGCGCTTCCCTCGGCGGCGGCAGCGCGGACTGGCGGGAGAGGCTGTCATCTGGCGGCCTGTCATTCCATCCCCGGCCCCGCCACGCCTCCCGCTCGGATCTCCCGCGAGCCCCGGCTGGCTCGCGGACTCGTCCGCGGCAGCCCCGGGCCGGAGCCGGGCACTCCGGGTTTTACCTCCGTCTCGCCTCTTCCCCTTTTGTTCGCCTGACTTGGGGCCGCCCGGCTGTTCCGTACGCCCCGGGAAAGAAGTGACACTTTGTTTTTCTGTCTACACCAATAGAAATAAACTGTATTTTATGAAAAAGTTCTCCCTCCCCCGTCTTATTAGGTTTCTCTGAAACCGTTCACTTCATCATTTCTTTTTTTAATTAATTAATTTATTTTTAGTTTTCAGCATTCACTTCCATAAGCTTTTGAGTTTTAAATTTTCTCTCCCTCCTTCTAAACAAAACAGAAGAAGAAAAAAGAGAAAATCGTATGCTTCGATCTTCATTCAGACTCCATAGTTCTTTCTCTGGACGTGGATAGCATTTCCCATCATGAGACCTTTGGAGATGTCTTAGGTCCTTGTATTGTTGAAAAGGACTAAGTCTATCAAAGTTGGTCATCGCACAATGTGGCTGTTACTATGTACAATGTTCTCCTGGTTCTGTTCACTTCACTGGGCATCGGTCCATACAAGTCTTTCCAGGTTTTTCTGAAGTCTGCTTGCTTATCATTTCTTACAGCACCACAGTATTCTGTCATATTTCCATATCATAACTTGTTTAGTCAGTTTCCCAATTGATAGCTGCTCCCTCAGTTTCCAATTCTTTATCATCTCAAAAACTATAACTATTTTTGTGCATCTCTTATTTAGGCTGTTTTGTTTAGAACTAGTCCTTCCCTTAATTTACCCTCCCTCTAATTTCTCTTTCTCTTTTCTCCCCTTTCGCTTCTGTTTCCTTGTTGAGTAAAATGTTTTTCTGTACCCAACTGTGTTTTTATTCTTACCCCTTTGATCAATTCAAATGACAATGAGTTTCAAGTGTCAGCCCCTCTTCCCACCCCTTCCTTTTGTTTGTATAGACTTCTACTTACTGTATCCTATTATTTGAGATAATTTTCCTAAACCTTCCTGGCCCCTCTCCCCTTTCCCTTCATATTCCTCTTCTTCCCTCTTACCATTTCTTTAAGATCAAAAAGTATAGGGGCAGCTAAGTGGTGAAATGGATAGGGCACCTGCCTTGGAGTCAGGAGGAGTTGAGTTCTAATGTGGCCTCAGACACTTACTAGCTGTGTAACCCTGGGCAAGTCACTCAACCCTAATTGCCCCATCCCCTCCCCCCCCCAAAAAGATCAAGACATAACAGAACCACTCCCAGGCCTTCTGTATAATAAGACTCCCTCTATTAAGATACCACTGATGATGATAGAGTTCAGAAGGGAAATATAAATCATCTCACTATAATAGAATGTAAGCAGTTTATTTTTATTTATTCCCTTGTGATTGTTCCTTCATATTTACATTTTTATATTTCTCTTAATTCTTGTGTTTGAACTTTAAAGTTTTTATGCAACTCTGGTCTTCTCATGAAAAATATTTGAAAGCCTTCTGTTTCATTAAAGGTCCATTTCCCTCCCTATGATTATAATCAGTTTTTCTGGGTAAATTTTTCTTAGTATAAGCCTATATTATACTTTGCTTTTGGAATATCATATTCTCAGGCCTCCCCTCCTTTATAGTGGTGGCTGCTAAATTGTATTTGATTCTGATTGTGGCTCCTCAGTGCTTGAGTTCTTTGTGCCTACTTGCAGTGTTTTTGCTTTGCTGTGGAAACTCTGGTTTATGGCTGTGTTGTTCCTGGGAGTTTTAGTTTTGGTTTTTCAGGAGTTATCTCATAGATTCTTTCTTTTTACACTTGACCCTTTGATTCTGAGAGATCTGGGCAGTTTTCTTTTTAAGGTTTCTTGAAATAAGATGTCTAGGTTCTTGTTTTGGTCATGGCTTTCAGGTGGTCCAATTCGTCTTAATTTATTTTTCTTCTTGATCTGTTTTCCAGGTTAGTTGTTTTTACTGCAAGATACTTTACAATTTCTTCTATTTTTTCAGTCTTTTGACTCTGTTTTAATATTTCTTGTTGACTGTGTTATAATATTTTTTGTTGTCTGTTTAGTCCATTGTAATTTTTAGGGACTTTGTTGCTTGGGCAAGGTTTTGCATTTCTTATACCAAGCTGTTAATTCCCTTTCCAATTCTTTCTTCCATAACTCTTTTCTTTTCCATCCCCCCCCTTAACATTTAACTTATGAAAACATTTAAAAACTCTTAAAAAAAACCCCAAACCAAACCTCTTTCTTCATCTCATCTAGGAGTTCTAGTTGAATTTATGCCCAAAGTGTGTTTGTCTTGGAAGTTTTGTTTTTGGATATTTTGGAGTAATTTTCTTCCTCTGGGTTTGTGTCTTGAGTGTCCCTGTCCTCATAATAGCTTTTTTGGTGGGATTTTTATTTGCTCATTTTTTTTTTCAGCCTTCTTCTTCTCTTTGAACTTTATATTAGGGTGGAGGAGCTCTGTGCACGTTTGGATGGAAGGTCTCCTGATGTTTCTTTTGTGGGGATATTGAGCGTGATATTATTCCAGTCTCTCAGGGACAGCTCAGAATAGGGATCTGAAAGCTTTTGATGTTCCCCAAATGGTCTGATCCAGGGCAAAATCTGATTGTTGTCCTCCTTGTTTGAGCTTTGCAAGTTCCTGACCTGGATTTGAGTCTGAGCAACAGTAGATTGCTATTGGATGCACTTACTACTATCCAGCTATAGAGCTAGGTGGCACAGTGAATAGTGATGGACTGGGCCTGGCATCAGGAACATTCATCTTCCTGAGTTGAAATTTGGCCTCAGATACTTACTAGCTATGTGACCCTGGGAAAGTCACTTAACCTGGTTTGCCTCAGTTTCCTCATCTGTAAAATGAGGTAGAGAAGGAAATGGCGAACCACTCCAGTATCTTTGCCAAGAAAATCCCAAATGGGGTCATGAAGAGTCTGACAAGACTGAAACATGACTGAACCACAACGACAAAGCTCTTCTGGTTCAAATGACAGAACTGTAGGCTTCCCTTTGGTCTGAGATTCCTGCCCTGGCTATTTCTCTGCAGTCTTTAGATTATGTTAGATGTTAGAAATGAGACTCTACTCTGTTCCTGAGGTTTGAGTCATACTGCTACTGATTGTTTCTGACCTTTCTTCTTGCTAGGTCCACAGGCTAAAACCCATGACCACTCCTTACATTCAGACCACCACCCATGGGTGCAGGCCTCCTCCTTAGTATACCATGGATCTATGACCCAGAACTGGGTAGTGGGTACCAAAGCTGCCAGTTGGTCCTTGTTCCTGTAGCCTGCACAAGGTGTCGATCCCTCATTTAGGGTCTAATACTTTGTCTTGCCATGTGTACAGCCTGGACCCTCTTTCATTCTCTGGGCACAAAAATACCCAGTTTGGCTTATTCCTGGTCAAATCCTATTCCCAGTGTCAACAAACTTCTCTGACTGTCTCCCTATGTCAACCTGAGCTGGAAAAAATAACTAACTGTAGCTTTTTTCTTGGATTTCCCGAGTAGAATTTGGTCTAGTGTATTTTTTAGTTCTGGAGGAGTTTAGGGATAGGGAGGACCTCTCTGTATTTCTTCCTTCTATTTCACCATCTTGGCACAGTCTCTATACTGTATGTATTCTTCATCAAATGAAAATATGTAAAGTAGTGAAGTATTAAAGTGTTATATAAATATTAAAAATCAGAAAATTGATAAATGGAATTAACAACTAATGTCTCCAGCATCCTTGCTGGCTAACAGGTATTTACTGAGTCTGTTCTAAGGGTACTCCTGGTCAATGTGCAAGGTACTTTGAGATATACAAAACAAGTCTAGGGTAGGATCTTTTCCTCAAGGAGCTTCCAGTCTGCTTGTGGAAGCAACAACACATACGAAGCAATATGTCTGATCCTATTTTTAAAGTCTGACTCTAATTTTTAAAATAAATTTTTATTGCTGTCTTTTGTACAACTCATGCCTGACCAAGAATCTGTTCTCTAGCATCCTCAGTACGTGATTATGCAGCCTTTACTTTGAAAGTTGCAGGACAGGAAAACCCAATACCTCCTGAGGTATCACATTCCACTTTGGGTTAGTTCTGACGAAGTTTTTCTTTATATCAAACCTAAATATACTACTCCATAGCTTCTACTCTAATTCCTAGTTCTGCCCTTTGAGGTTTAGCAGAACAAGTCTCATGTTTCCATTTGAAATCTCTTCAGATACTTGAAGATAGCACTTATGTTTCCCCATAAGTCTTCTTTTCTCAATGTTAAATATTCCCAATTCCTTCTATCCTTGAAGGCAGGGACGGTTGCTTTTGTTTGCCTTTCTTTGTATTCTTAGTGTTCAGCATAGTGCCTAGCACCTATTAAGGGCTTAATACAGTTGACTAGTTGAATTGTGTCAATTTTCACC